GAGAGATATTTACGACTGTAACCCCTGTAATTGCAAAAATCAAGGCAATGTGCTAGATGGAGTCAAAATCAGCACAAACGAAACTGAGCTCAAATCATCCGGCATTGCTTGTCGACTTCTTTGTCAACCATTAAGGTGTAGGTTACCATCAGTCATTGCCTTCGAAGGCGATGGACACGTGGCTCCCATTGATAAGGAGAAAACCAGGTTTTCAAGGCATACAACATGGTTTGAACATTAAAAGTGACAATAATTCTACTTTCGAACTGCATTTTTTTTCTAGACGACGAAGTAATGAATGACATGTATGTTTGTATATATATTTTACAAGTATTGTATATTTGAGAAAAAAGAAAGAAAAAAAAGAATCTAGTGTTGCGTCAAGTCAGTATAGCATTGCTTTTTGAAATGAATTTTTTTAATATGTGTTCTAAAATGGAAACATTTTTGGCTTCCCCACTGTGGGCTTCCCCAACTTTTTGTCATGCGCGTTCCTGGAGAGGGTTATTACAGAAACACGTGTTGTGTGCACAGACCTATAATTATTGATGCAATTATTATTTACTAATGTTATCCTTGCATGCCCCGAGTATTACTGTAACAGAACAAGTAAAAAGTACAAAAAAGGATATCTAATTTTCATGAAGTCCTGTTTTAAACCAGTAAGTTCTTTAAAAAATGTGTTGGGTTGCATCACGCAATGACATCACATGTCAATAATGTAATTCACATTGAGTGAGAATCTTTCGGCCCTTATTTTTTTAATTCACAGAATCAATATAAGGAAATTGATGATAAGTTGATTGTTTAAGAGTCTTTGCAATATATTTCAAAGATTTTTCAACATTTTAATTAAATATCTTTTAAAATCCAAATGATATTCAGTAAATAGCATTTAAATTTTTCATGTTTTGTAAAATAGAATTTAAATTTTACTTGTTTTGTAAAATAGAATTTAATCTTTTTGTCCCCCGCGTAACGCGTTGCGGGGGACATGGAAATACCGGGCGTCCGTCCGTCCGCCCGCGCTCTCACGGGTACAATTCTTGCCAGATGTTTATAAAACTTATACTATAGGTTAATATCAGCAATATCTCGGACAAGTTATATAATGGTGGCCGATCAACTTTTTTTTTAAAAGAGTTATGCCCCTTGGAAATATTAAATTTATGGAAAATGGCCTCGTTAGCGCTCTCACGGGTACAATTCTTGCCCGATTTTTATAAAACTTATACTATAGGTTAATACCAGCAATATCTCGGACAAGTTTGATAATGGTGGCCGATCGACTTTTTTTAAAAGAGTTATGCCCCTTGGAAATATAATTTATGGAAAATGGCCTCGTTAGCGCTCTCATGGGTACAATTCTTGCCAGATTTTTATAAAACTTATTCTATAGGTTAATATCAGCAATATCTCGGATAAGTTCTATAATGGTGGACGATCGATTTTTTTAAAAGAGTTATGCCCTTGGAAATATAAAATATGTGCAACGCGGGGGACATTGGAACTCTGTTCTTTTATTTTTACATGTTTTGTTAAATAGATTTCAAATATTTACATGTTTTGTAAAAAATTATAAGTAAGGACATCCGAAGGACGAAATGAATTTTGCCATACTTTGTATACAACACATTTTAAATTTTATTAATATTTCAGTGTTGATTTCTATTGCCCTTCCACATTTATTTTTAAGTGCACTAAAAATTATTTAAACAGAACAGCAAAATATCGTCCATGCCCATATCTATGATGTCTCAGGTTAGGAGGAAAGGGGGGAGGGCTATTTGGGGTCAAAGTTTAAAAGTCAAACTTCAATACGAGTCTCGCATTTAAGTCTTTAATGCATTTTTGTTTTTTGCATACGGGGGATTCGTCCGCACTCCCTTGCTACAAAGCTCAAAACACTGCAAGCTTTAACACATGTGCAGTTTTGAGACATTTATAATCATTTGTAAGTTATTTAAATAAATGTTCTCAAATGCAAAAACATCTAAATAAACAACTGAAGTTATGACACAGATAGTTTTAGGAAATATCCATAGATTTTTTTTCAGATGACCAACCTAAAAAAATGAATGCAGAGAGAAATGGTCCAGCTTATTTCCTCTGTCAAGCATCAATACACTAAAGACTAAGGTACAAGGGTAATTGCGGCTGATTTAATGTTATAATAAAGTGACCAAACTACTTCTTATGCCACTGTGATCTTGAAAAATAGAGAAAAAAATACTGTGTTTAACTTCTTTAACAACATCATTTATATTTGTTGATATTTTAAGTCGGTGTCGTTTAGGTTGCTGTCTCATTGACGTATGCCCCTCGTCTTCTTTTGTTAATAACTCGCATGTATTAAGCTTACTGCAAGTCTTTAAAAGTCCCATTTTATGTTATGTGTTAATTTATTGTTTAATATTATGAATTATTGATAAGATACGAGAAGATACAATGCATTCTGTAAAATTATGTCATTGTGATAACAGTTTATATCAGTTGTACTTTCGAGCAGAGATTTAATATGACTCATGATTTACACAGAGAGCAACCAACTTTTACGTGCGTCCAATCTAACATGAAATGTTTCGATATCGGTTTTGATCAAATTGGGTCGAAATTCGTGTGTTCGCTAACTTTTGATTTATCCTAAATAAAGGAATGTTTCGGTTAAACATCAATAAGACAGCAACCCACAAAACATTTAATTAAAATTCAAAAGCCATCACATGTCATTGTATAGAAAAATACTATACAATACAGTGCTTGCCAAAAAAAAACATACTTTTGACAAGTTCTTAATCGCCGAAACCCCCAAAACCTTTTAAATAAATGCAAAAGGTGAATACAAAAGTAAATACATGTGTTAAAGGTTAGACAGTAAAAAATTAAAGCATGTCTCGACTTATTTTCTCTTATGAATTTCTATCATTTATTTTCTCTCTTCACCTTTCGTTTGGATGTGGGAATTAACATGAGTTTCTTTTAAGTGAAATACTTGATGGTCAAATAACAGTATTCAGCGCCAAATTTTGAGAGTTCAGTTTAGTTAATTTTCTATTCTCCGTATTTACTGATAAATGGACTTTTTGTTCTTTTTTGCTTTGTTTTTGCAATTAGCATTTAGATACAGCCTAATGTTAAAGTTTTTTAAGACATCAATTACTTTGTCAAACCTGAATGGAATTTTAGGAGACTTGGATATAAGCCTCTTATATAATCAAATGACAGTATTTGGAGCAAAATTTTAAAAGTATTTTTCTTCATTTTTCCCCGTATTTTACTGATAAATGGACATATTGTTTTTAGCAGTTAAAATCAGATACCCCCCCCCCTTTTCTTTTAATCGGTAACTTTGTTAAACATTCTTAGATTATCATGAAATTTTGATAGAGGCTTTTAAATGATTAAGAGTTAACATCTTAAGAAACAAAATTGGAAAGATGTTTTTTGCTTTGCATTTTTCTGAATTTTGCTGATAGATGGATTAAGTTTTCTTGCAGTAACATTTATATACAGTTGGAGTTTAGACACCAATTACGTTGTCAAATCTCCAGGAAATTTTACACAGAAAAAGGATAGAAGTTTCATCATGATTAAGAATTAAAATCTGAAATAAAAGTGTTTTTTTTTCTCCATAATTTACGTATGAATAGACTATTTTGCCATGAACATTGTACTTTCACACGTCAACTGTAATTGCAGGCGAGAAAAGGGGTTCCGCGGAACCCTTATTAACGTATTTATATTATCTATTGAAAATAAGAATGGAGGGGCATCATACATAAACTACTGTTATTTTAATGAACAAGAACACATTAAATAAGGGGCGAAAACAAGTAGAATATTAAAGTACATCAACTAAAAAAATAAAAACAAAAAAAAACATGCATCTAGAAAAGTTGGTTCCATTCCACAAGCTTCTGTGGACTCCATCCTTGAAAAATTCCAATTGTACTTCAGCTAATGTTTTGATAATTCGGAAAATAAATACTCTGCGGAATCTTAGTTTCTTAAGAATTTCTAAATTTTGTACGTAATAAAGTATTGATAGTTATATTTTATTATTTTTTATTTTGTTTTTCCAACTTATCAAATTCTATCAGTAAACATAAAATAAATGAAATAAACCCAGTACAATTTACTGATAATCATACTAACTGTAGCTTTAAGCAATATTTTTTATCCTTTTAGAAATTTAATACAATCCTGGATTTCCCCAGTACAAATCTGGATATCCCAATTTTCACTGATAGATATTGGAATTCTGAGTTTTACTGAAATTTATTTACTACAATAAATCAGAATTCTAGGTTTTACTAGTACATATTGGAATTCCAATTTGTACAAGGAGGATCGTGTATCCTCATGAATTCCTATTTGCACTGTAGCATATACGTAAAAAAAAGTGCAAAACACGGTCGACAAACTATGTGTTTAGTAGTATTGATCAGGCGTAAGAACAAAAAAGAATCACACAATTACATTCTTATGACTGATAACTGAACAGGGACCCCCCTTTTCTTGTTAAGTCATTAAAGCCCAGTCAACACATTTATGTCAGTTTATTTCTATCTTCGTTAACTCTGCGTACAATTAAAGATAAAAAAGAAGTTCAAATAACTTCATCTGAATTGTTTTCTTTCTCAGGTTATTTTCTTTAGCGAGAATAATAAATTGTAAATAACAATCATTCACAGTTTAAAAGCTCATGATCAGGAAGTTATATATTCCTATATTTTCTATAGTGATTATTTATCAAAATATATCACCATATTCAAATGTAAATATAAAAATCAAATAGTACATCGACCTATACTTTTAATAAACATTCACATGTTCGTTGCGTAAATACATCCTGATAAAAGATAACTGACACGGTTACAAAGTCCCAAATATGTCAGCATTAATTACTGGTCAAAATTCATTAGTTAAATGTCACTTTGTACTCTGGAGTAGTATATAAGTGACTAAACCTCACATTGCTTTAGAAAACTGCGACCGAGTACAAACCGCCAGCTCCATAATGGGGCATACGTTTTTCCTACTGCTTGCCTTAGTGGCATCAACTTTGGCGGGTAAGTTGTAATTTTTTTGTGATTTTCATTTGACAGTTGTTTTTCTTGTTTAATTATGCAGAAAATTTTACTTTTTTGATAAAAAAAAAAATATATAAATTAATTTTTATAAATGTGTTATTAAACAGTGGTATATTTTTTTATTTTTTTTGTATTAAATTTAATTTTTCTGTGATAGATTTATTTCTTTCAATTATTTTATTGTCACGTTAATGTTCCTCCCCATCAGTCTTGTGTCCAGAAGCCTTTAGTTTTGATCCATTAATTTTTTTCTTTTTAGTTTTGATCGATTAATGTTTTTCTTAGGCCCTTTATTATGATTAATTTATTATGTTATTGATTTGTGAATTTATTTTCAAATTTTCGAAGGCACGAACTTTCGCGGAGTTGAATAAAGGATTCCAAGCAGTATTGCACTTCATTAATTTGCTAGATTATTTAAAATACTGTATTCGTGTAATCTCATTTATGTGCAATTTGGACGCAAGAGGTTTTTTTTTTTCCATTTTGCCTATTCTTGTATTTATAATTACTTTATCGAGAACGTGTATACTATACACGATATGTATTATCAACTACAAAACCTTTTTATCGGCGTTTTTGCCAATTTATTATCATCTACAAAAACTTTTTTCTTGGAGTCTTTGTCAAAATTACTATCAGCTACAACTTTATTTTGGCGTCTTTTTATGTTTATTGAAGATTTTAGTCAGTTGTGTTTGTATACACAGTTTTGGCTGCTGGATCCCAACATTGTCACATTAATCTATTATGTCTGTTTGGGATGCTCACCCATTTTTTTCTCTCATTATAACGGGACTGTAAACAACTGCCATAAAAGTAGGGGGTTAAGATAGCTATAAAACCAGCTTTAACCCACCATTTTCTTCAGAAAATGCATGTACCAATTCAGGAATATAATAGTTGTTATCCACTCGTTCCGTTGGTTGATAACTTTTGATTTTGTCAGTTTTTACGGACTTCCCCTTTTTGAATTTACATAATATTGGAGTTCGATAGTTTCGTTATACTTTTTCATGAACATTTGTTTTACTTATTATACGGACTGTTTGTGCTTTCCTGTTGTTGAGATCTTGAAAATTCGTTACGTGAAATACATTTTCTTTCAATAAGAAGAAATGGAGATTTTGAATTAACACCTGGATTAGACAGCAGCCCGAAAAATGCAAGCTCATCAAACACATATAATGTTTTGGTGTATTTCAATGAATTTTGTCGTTAAATCAGCTAAACTTTAAGTTTTAAAGTATGCTAAAGTAATTTTATATTATTAGCACATGATCATCAATTGTTAACATTTCAATTAGTATCCGGTTGGTGTTTCTCATAATTGTTCAATGGAGTAGATATTTTATATTTTCAAAACCATTGAACCATTTTTTTCTATTTTCAGGACCAATTATTAGCACAGGATCATGTTCAACACGTTGTACAGGTAAGATTATTTCATTTAATTAGGCGAATAATTAGAGACAAAAGTAGTATACCGAGGTTCAAATCTTCGTTATCTTCGGAAAATGCTTGTACCAAGCCAGGAATATGATAGTTGTTTTTCACTCGTTCCTTTTTAGTCCCCTACCGACGAAGTCGAAGAGGACTTTAGGTTTGCACTCTGTCCGTCTGTCCGTCTGTCCGTCTGTCCATCCGTCAGTCCGGCAACTCAGTTTTCCACACTTTTTTTCTTCGTTCTTGAAGATATTGATTTGATATTTGGTATATAGTTGTATCATGACAAGTTATAGATCAAGTTCGAATTTTGTTCCGGTCTGATGATTTAGTCCAGAGTTATGGTCCATAAAAACTCCATAACTAATGTTAGAGTACGATGTTAAACCATATATCTGTACAAAGGGAGATAACTCATTTTTTAAAAGACATTCTTTGGTAAATTGATTGAGGATTTTTGTGGCAGGTTTATATGTTATTTTGTATATTTATAATTATCTGAATGCTACATGTATATATATATCTGGAGCTGGCATGTCAGTAACTGCTAGCAGTCTGTTGTTATTTATGTATTATTGTCATTTTGTTTATTTTCTTTTGTTTCCTATTCTGACATCGGACTCGGACTTCTCTTAAACTGAGTTTTACCGGCGTACTGTTGTACGTTTGTTTTTTTCTACATTGGCTAGAGGTAAAGGGGGACGGTTGAGATCTAAAAAAACATGTTTAACCCCGCCGCATTTTTGCGCCTGTCCCAAGTCAGCAGCCTCTGGCCTTTGTTAGTCTTGTATCATTTTTAATTTTAGTTTCTCGTGTATAATTTGGAGTTTAGTATGACGTCCATTATCACTGAACTAGTATACATATTTGTTTAGGGGCCAGCTGAAGGACGCCTCCGGGTGCGGGAGTTTCTCGCTGCATTGAAGACCCATTGGTGGCCTTCGGCTGTTGTCTGCTCTATGGTCGGGTTGTTGTCTCTTTGACACATTCCCTATTTCCATTCTCAATTTTATATATATTTTTTATTAAGTGAAATCCTTTAATTAGATAATAATCTATTTTTATTAAGGTGTATATTTCATTACATTACATTGTGTAGATAAAAGTTGTTGACATTTTATAGATAAGTTACAAATCTATATTAGTTTTATGACAAATGAAAGAAAAAATATTTGGAACTACTAATTATATTTGATTGTAATTTGAAAAAAGATATACATTGTATTACATAATATCTAATTTTAGAGAACTATTAATCATATCTAATGTTAGAGTGTTATAGGTTTTCCACACTTTTTTTCATCATGCTTGAAGATATTGATTGACAATTGGTCAATAGTTTTATCATGACAAGTTACAGATCAAGTTCAAATTTTTGTTTCGGTCTGATAATTTTGTGCAGAGTTATGGTTCTTGGACTTGAAAAAATTCACTCATATATTCAGTTTTCCACACTGTTTTTAGTCATGCTTGAAGATATTGACTTGATATTTTCTTTTTGTTTACACCATGACAAGTTATAGAACAAGTTAGCATTTTGTTCCAGTAAAATGAATGTTTACCCGGTAGGGGACTATGTATTGCCATGCAATACTCTCAGAATGCTTGTTTATATAACGTTTGATTTTGACATTTTTTATGGATATCCCCTTTTTGAATTTACATTGGAGTTCAGTATTTTGTTATACATTTTTCTCATAAATCCAATAAGAACATACAAATCAAGATAAAGCAAAACTGAGGATAGCATGAAGTGAGCTCGTATAAATAAAAAATAATTTTTCCATCATTAGGTTCAAGTAATTTAAAAATTAACTCTTTTTTTTCTAATATAAGACAACCTCTATCTCTATTTTTGCTAATCCTATACTATTTCATGTTTGACTTTTAGATTATGCAGATTTAGAAAAAAATATTTTTAGCATATCGTACATACATACATTGCAGAAACAAAGAAATTTGGATACGAAACCGGGAAAACCTACGAATATGACTACACAACCGAAGTCGACACAACAGTACAAGGGGCATCCGAGGAAAAAGCCGGAATTCAGTTGACTGCTAAAGTTCACATCGATGTCGTCTCAAAATGTGAAATGAATCTTCGGGTAAATACTTGAAGTTATTCGTGTAATGAGAATTGATTTTTTCCGCTCCAAAAATTACAATATTTAATTGCCAAGATAAAAAGATATCCATGTATTTATTCACCTAAAATGCGTGAGGAGCCTTATGACTAAAATAAACTTAGAGGGGCATTAGCTGTCAAAATCATGTTCACCGATTTGACTCAAATTCTCATATTTGATTTATAACATACTAAAACTTTTATCCAAATTTTGCAATAATTCTGAAATAAATAGTTAACAATGCATTTACTCGATAATATTTATCAGAATTTCGTGTGTATTTTAGTCTAGACGCCATCTAATTAACTATCGAGATGACCTCCGAAGACTGCCGACGGTCACATAACCCGATATAAACATTTGGAGTTTAGTATGACGTCCATTATCACTGAACTAGTATACATATTTGTTTAGGGGCCAGCTGAAGGACGCCTCCGGGTGCGGGAGTTTCTCGCTGCATTGAAGACCCATTGGTGGCCTTCGGCTGTTGTCTGCTCTAATGTCGGGTCGTTGTCTCTTTGACACATTCCCCATTTCCATTCTCAATTTTATAGACATAAATATAAATAGATAGCGACCTCGTGCAATTGAACTTTTCTATGTCTGTTTGATTTCATGTAATGGGTTAAAAAAATAAGTTAATTATCGTTTTTACCTGTATAAGAATGATTTTTTGTGGATCGAATCAGTGAACGAAATGGTTCACCTTTGTTTCACTTTCAATGTTGACATTTTTTTTCCTTTTAATGGCTAAACACGACTAAAACATGCGTGACCAATCTCTAGCTAATGGGTTAAATTGAAGGTCACATGAATACGGATTGAATGAGGTCGAATTATTCATTTGCAAGTGAATAATATATCAGCTATGTTTCTTTGCTTATTTTGACAAAATTGGACCAAATTGGCTGCTAAAAGCAAATTATTATTTCATTATTTCACTTTTATTAATGATTGAACCAAACAAAATCATATTCTAATTTTTTTCGTATCTCGTAGCTAATGCCCCTTTGAAACAAATAGCCTAATTCATCTAATGTCAACTTTGCCTGAGTTAAGGAGACGGATTTCTATAAGTTTTTCTCGTTTCCGAATTCCTATATTTCTATTGTTTATTTGTCTTTTGTGCTGTTTTGAAAAATTAAACATTGTTCAATCTAACTTTGCCTGAGGGAGTTGTGGGCCGTAGTTTCTTAATAATTTCTGAATTGATCTACGGAGAATTAAAAAAAATATTATCATAAATCATGTCAGTACCTAATAACCAACCACTGAGCTGCAGTTAATTTCTGGTTTTTGATGGAAAATGAAAATTTCTTTTCTCAAATTTATAGCTCAGCAACGTCAGACTATTGGAATCAGACCCAAAAGCGCCTGAAACAAGGATAGATGCCGACAAAAGCGGAGAGTTTAGAACTAACCTTGAGAAATCACCTTTGGCATTCTCCTTCCAAGATGGTCGAATTGAAGAACTTTGTACATCCATACCTGAGAAAACATGGGTACTAAACATTAAACGTGGTATCCTCTCAGCAGTTCAAAACTCAATGGATGACCTGACACAGGATCAAACAGTCCAGGAGGTAAACAGAATTATATCATAGGTTCACTCAAACAACAAAACAAAGATAAATTTATGTTTAGAGCTAAATGATTATTATATCAGAGGTTTATTAATCTTAATAGACACAAAGAAAAAAGAGTATATAAACAACACTTTTACTATATTCACTTAGTTTTGTTTTGTTTAATAGACTGACATTACTGGGGAATGCAAAGCAGCCTATACTGTATCTAACAACGGCTGGTACTCAAGAACAATCAAGAAGAGCAAAGACTTGCTTGGATGTACAGACAGACATGGATACAATACAATGATGCAGGGAACACCATACAGAGTTCAATCTGTAAGTTATAAGTTTTTTTTTATCTTACTACTAATTCTTCTTTTTCTATAGTCTATTTTGATAAGAAAATGAAATTGAATATATTTTTTCATCTGTTTCTGCTTGGAGGGTTGACGTGAATGATCGGCGGGAATTTTTTAATAACACTGAAAAAGTGTGTCTTTTAAGCAAGAATAAAAATGTGACTAGGAATAGATAGGTCTTCCATTCACCCATAAAAGAATTTTTAAACTGTAAACAATATGCAACGTTTTATAACTGACGATTAGACAGCTCTGTTGATATACTTTTCTAGGAAATTCAGTCTCTGCCACTGATAAAAGGTACCCATGAGTGTTCACAAGACATCAGCAAGGCTGGCATACTACAGAACAGTGTATGTGAAGAAGAACATGTTCTCCGACCATTCTCAAGGGAATCCAGTGGTGCTATGACAAAGACCAAACAGACATTAACATATGTAACAGAAAGAACATCATCTTCTAGCTCAAGTAAGAAAACATTCATCGATATATCAATGAAATATTTTTTTTGATGATCGACTCTATTTAAAAATAGGAAATTTTGATAAATATTTATCTCATCAAACTATTAAAATCAAACTTTCTTTTAATACAAAATTTGTAAACAGTTCTTACAATGTATTTCAATGGAAATATATCCAAAGTTCTTATAAAAATCGGTGTACTTATATTACAGTTTCCATTGGGCACCGCGTTCCATTGACGTTTGTTCATTCTAACGATGGTAGGGGTACCATTACGGATGTCATCAGTAAACTGAATGAAATCTGCATATCTACCTCCGACAGTGTGAAACCGGATACTCCACAATTGTTCTCTGGACTTGTAAGACTAATGAAGGCTTTAGAAAGTGATGAACTGGAACAGATTTACAGAAAAGTGAAAGGAACCAGATTCTGTGCATCTAATCAAAAGAGAGTTGAGTAAGTGGCATAAAGCTGTACTTCTCAAATATTAACAAGAATGTGTCCATAGTACACAGATGCCCCACTCGCACTATCATTTTTATGTTCAGTGGACCGTGAAATTAGGGTCAAAACTCTTATTTGGCATTAAAAGTAGAAAGATCATATCATAGGGAACATGTGTACTAAGTTTCAAGTTGATTGGACTTCAACTTCATCATAAACTACCTTGACCAAAAACTTTAACCTAAAGCGGGACAGACGGACGAACTGACGAACGGACGAACGGATGGACGGACGAACGAACGAACGGACGCACAAAAACATAATGTCCCTAGGTGGGGCATAAAAACAATTGAAACGCTTGCTCTTAAGTTCTAGCTTGTATCTGAAGCACTTAGAATCTCAATAAGTTTTGAAATGATGAATTTTTATTGGTATTGATGAAAACAAATACTTTCTTTGTAGAAAATTCTTCCTTGATGCCATTCCAATGCTTGGAACAAAAGCTTCACTGAGATTGATTACTAACTTGATCAACAAAAAAGAAGTTCGTGGAATCGAAGCAAATATGTGGCTAACGACATTATCGTTCATCAAAGATCCAACAAAAGAAATGCTGAATGAAGTCAAAGTAGGTCTAATGTTTGTTTTAAACATATTAGTTACTTCAGATGTGACTTATGAATAGCTGAAACTTTTCACAAATACAAGCCGGGAATTAGTATTTAATACATTTAATGTATTTAGTTTACTTACGTTTAAATAAGCTTTGAATATAGAGGAATTCTAAAAACAAATATTTTGCCCAAATGGAGCCCCTTATATAATCTTGTGATCAATAGCACAATTATTGAAGGTCAAATTTTTATGCACATAAATTTAAAATCAGGAACTTTGTCTCAAGAACATATTTCACTATGCTCAAAATGGTTTTTGTAATAATATAGTTTTACTCTCTTTAATTTTGTTCTTTATTAACAGCCACTCATATCATCTGAGGACAATGAAGAGGCTATGCTCGGTGTATCTTCACTCGTTAATGCCTACTGCAAGAACAATGAATGTGAAAATGATATTGACATCGCCAGTATTGTCTCTTCTATAGAAGACAAGATTGGTGTTGGGTGTTATGTGGACAAAAACAATCTTGGCAAGGTATGTGCAAAGATATAGTGACATCTGACCTTATTTAATATTTATAATTTATTATAGGGAAAAAAATTTCTGGGAGTTAAAAAGCAAATATTTCAAATACTGACATAAAAAACCAAACTACTAATGTTGAGGAATTAAAATTATAAGTTTATAAAATATTTAAGTTTAATCTGACTTTAGAATTAAAGATGCTGTAGTTTATAAAATCAGAAGTATAAACTGAAGTGTTTTTTTTGGTTAAAGAAAGTTAGAGTATCGTTTAAGATTCAATTTTAAACTTTATTTTAGGTGATCCTTAGTCTTAGATCACTTGGAAATGCTGGATACGTTAATAATGCCATCAGAACAATCACAAACTGTATGACCAAGAGAGATAATCCCACAGAAGTCCGCCTTTCTGCTATACAAGCCTTCCGTCGTATGCCATGCTCAATAAGCGTAAGTTTTCAACTAGTAATATTGAAAAATGTACATATTCAGCCTGCTTAAAAAATTATAAATTATTTTTTAGTGCAAATGAATCATAAAGTTGCCTATGATAACAGCCCTACAAATAGTTATGCAAACTTTATCTTATTGTATAACATCATACATTGTGTACTTCAATATCAATAATAATGACTATTCATATAAATTATATATTCCTTTCCAGCGAGACGACGTCATGGCAATCTTCAGGAACAGAGACGAGGATTCCGAATTGAGAATTGCTTCATACCAGGCTCTTATGACATGCCCTTCAGACATTGTCCTGTCTCGTGTTAGATATCTTCTTGAATCAGAAGAGGTCAACCAAGTTGGTTCTTATGTATGGTCTCATTTAACAAACTTGATGGAGACTTCTAGCCCACTGAAACAGGAAATAAAGAATATCATCAACGACAAGGCGCTGAAGAAAGAATTCGATCTAGAAAAACTGAAATATTCCAGAAACTACGAAGGCTCCTTCTTCCTTGAGAAGCTAAATACCGGAGCTTCCATTGACAGCAATGTTGTCTGGTCTTCAAAATCTTTCTTACCAAGATCTGCCATGACTAACATAACATTCGACCTTTTTGGACATTCCGTTAACCTGTTAGAAATCGGTGGACGAATGGAAGGCCTTGAATATTTTCTGGAATCTTACTTTGGACCTAACGGATACTTCCAGAAAGATGAGATCATAGAAGTCACAAAACAGAACATAAAAGGAATCAGTAATAAAAAAATGGAGGACATTGACAGACAGGTTAATTTTATAATCATCAATATCTTAAGTATCCAGTCTGAAAATGTGTTATAGCTTTAATGTCATTTAATTTCTAATATCATTTTGACATTCCAATTTAAAAACTTTTTTGGTAGAAAATAGAGCAAAATTTATAATCTTTTTAAGCTTGGTTTGTTATATATGGCTTGTTTCGATTTAAGTTTGTTTTACTTAATTACTGAAACAAAATACAATCCTTCTTTACAAAATGAATTTACTATTGTAGTTTGACACAGAATCTGACTCACTGAAAGGAGATCTGTATATGAGAGTTTTTGGAAATGAGCTACTGTTTACAAGGTTCACCGGACTAAGTGATGTCACTGATGGTAAATCAATCAATATTCTGGACATTCTAACGACTCTTGCCAAGAAACAAGAATACTCCTTCACACAGAGCTACGTGTTCTTGGATAGCAGCGTCATAATTCCAACAATGGCTGGCTTCCCATTAAATTTGACCATTGATGGATCAGCTACCGTTGATTTACGTGCCTCTGGGAAAATGGATCTGACAAAAATAACCGACAGATCCCCAAGTCTTTCTTTGAATGGATATATGAAACCAAGGTTAGTAAAGTTCGACTAGCATATCAAAATATCAAAACTGTCTGCAGACGAAATCAAAGTAAATAACAAGGTAAAAGGCAAGATGAGTCAAATGGGAAATATCTATAACAGCATTAATTTGGTTAATTAAGGAATATGTTAGTGACGAAGAAAGACGTAGCGAACACTATCATCTGAGCATAGGTGTTGGAATTGTTGCCTAAGGGAACAGTTGTTATAAATGTAAACACTTGTAGCCAAAAAATATTTAAGAGCGGTTACAAAAATTGAAAATGACCACAAAAATCTAATAAAATTCACTCTATTCACAGTTTTTGTTATGTTTATGTATTTGTGTTTTTCATAATCATTGTTTGACAACGTTTTCTGATGTTTACAATACAAAACTTGGGGCCTCCTTATTTTTATTCCCGCCGTAGTGAAAGATATTTTCCACTGCTAGTGTATTTGTATTTTTAAATTCTAATATCGCAATTTTGTCCTCAGTGGCGCTGTCCAGATCAACAGTATGATGAGCGTGGATGCATTTGTTACAAGAAGTGGAATGAAAATGGTTTCTACTATGCATTCCTCCTCTTCTCTCGAAGGACACGTAGAACTGGCAAATGGAAAAGTACTAAGTGCACAGATTAAAACACCATTTGACAAAATGGAAGTTTTCAATGTCAAGTATGCAATATTTTTAATATTTTACAACAATTTATAATTTCGAAAAATTACTATTATTATTTTATAATTTTTATATAGAGCAATGAAAAGTAGTTTAAACAAATTATCTTTAAGATGTTCATTATGGAATTCCAAATAAGTGATTCTGGGCATATAAAAACTCTTCAAAGATTCCAGGCTTATAATTTGGTACGCAGAGCTCGTTTCGTCTTGATTAGAAATCGGGAATACAACTCAAAATACAATAATTTTAAACCTAGTTAACAAAAAAGTATCTATTATCATAGGACTGCTTTCTTCACTGTTCACCGTGAAGTTGAGAGGGAACAGAAAATGATTACTGCTAACAGACAGACAAAGAAAGTGTGTTCTGGAAACAAACTTGCAAAGATTACCGGACTGGAACTCTGTGCTGAACTTCAGTATCCGAACGCTTCATTAATAGCCGATGCTCCATACTTTCCAATGACGGGACCAGTTAGTGCTGGAATCACTCTTCTAAAACGTGACACACATGAAAGTTACAACATGGAATACAAATTTGTAAAGGTACTGCTATATCAATATTCTGTTTTATGATATAGTTAACACCCCGATATCTGTGTATCAGTGAAAGACATATATTTTTTTGAAAATTGAGCTCTTTCCTTGTGTTAATGAATAAAAGGAGATGATTATACATAATAAGACAGTGATAAAAAAAATAATCAACCAAAAGACAAAGAGATAAAAAAAAATTATACAAAAAAAAAAGAAAGTAAAATCACAAAAATACTGAACTCCGAGGAAAATTCAAAAAGGAAAGTCCCCAATCAAATGGCAAAATCAAAAACACATCAAACGAATTACAATTTTCATCAATGAATAAGTGTCTGGTATAATATAATATGCCTAAAACAACGAATGGTTGTATTCCGGACGCTTTTATTAGTGACTTCAAAGAAACAATTCCAAACCTATTAAAATGAGTTTGCAAACGTTCTTCTGTTGTTTCAGGATAAACAAGAAGCCAGAGCTAGAGTAGCCTTCAGCACTCCAGGCTCTACGGTAGACCGTGAATTGAGTTTTGATTGTCTTCTTCGATCTGACCCTCTGCTCGAAATCAGCATGATCTCACCATGGAAGAGAGTTTCAATCAGAGGTAAATGAAAGACATAAATCATTTGAATTTCTGTCGAAGTTTTGTGTTTAAAGTTTACCTTCAGATTTAAAATGCTAAAAAGATATTAACTTTACTTTGAAGATCTGTAAATATAAGGACTGATTACTGTGGTCTTTTTTAAAGATATATATAGGAAATGATAGCAAGTTACGTTTAGTTAAATGTGGTCGTAACTGGCTATCATTTCGTATAAATTAAAAATACAGCATTCAATTCTATAATACAAACTACAAGTTTCATACTTTTATACGGTACGTATAAATCGTGAACCATGATAAAATGAATATGTGTCCGCTTTTCTATGAATTGATATCAATGTTGACGAATTATTTTGAGATGTAATCAATTTATTTCACAAACCATATGAAAATTTACAGAATAATCAAATAGTAAATAAGATTGAAATGTTTAGGAGCCTTGGTTGGTGACAACAAACAGAAGCAAGTGGCGGGAAGAATTGTAATCGACGACAAAGATGAATACTCTGTGACTGGGGAATGGATCAGAAAAAGGGAAGGACAGCTTTATACTTACAATCCATACATTGAAATAATCATACCAAATATGGAAAATATAAGACTCAGCAGTTCTGTAGAATATGTCATCGGCAAAAGTTTCAATGGCGAATTGACCGTAAAAGGACTATCTAAGCAACCCATTCAGTCAAAAGGTATGTTATGGGTTTACCCTAAATATTTAATGTGCTCAAACATTAAAATAACGATAGTATGGGTTACAGGGAGGAAATCAAATTTATGAATAATCAAACCAAACCGAATGTCATCGGTTCAAATATGCTTACAAAGCATGCTGTGTACAATAATACATCAACTGCTGTAAAATTTAAGTAAATGCAATATCCAAAACCTTAAAAGAAAACCATTCAAAATGGTTTGATAATAGTTAGATACATGATGATGTTTTTCTTGGGTGAGGTTTTTGTTTGTCATTGTCCGAGCTCGGTTCAAAGTAGATAACCCATCTGTCACTTATGGAAAATAAAACGGGATCAATAAAACATGGAATACTACTAGTACTTTCAATGTTATTTTTCAACGTTATATTAGTAAACATTTACATGTTATTTTCAGTAAACCTGATTTCCAAGAAATCAATGTCTTCTATAAAAACATCCATCTCCTTTGAACCTGGGAAGGATTACAGTTTTGAAAGCAGATTGCAGAATACACAAACAAAGAAAGCCACTAAGCTAATGCCTTATTTGTCCATCCGTACACCAAAGGAGGAAGTCACAGCCCTTGGAGGATCATTGGAATATAAAAGCGGCTCTCTTATTCTTGTGGACGTTACAATTGACAGGTTATTGGATAAAACCATCAAAGTCTTCAGTAAGTTGTATAAAAAATTCATTTTAGTCATTGTTTATCAATATGATACAGTCTCAAACACCTCAAGCATATGTTCTCTTGAAATATTTAATCAATATAATAAAAGAGTATGTTTATTATAATATAAGAATCACACAACTCGAACAAAGAACTACTAAGAATAGTGTAGCTACCCTTTAGAGTAATTTGAATATATTTTTTTCATGACTGTTTTAGCCAAACTAACAAGAACCTTAAGGAAATCAAACGCCAGGTATCAGTCCAAAGTTGACATCAGAACTCCACTTCTTAGAGCAAAAGGAACTTCAAACATTGTACTGCAGAAAACTGCTGTAGTCACCAGAGTTAATCTTGATTACGTTATCCCAAGAATTAGCAGGGACAAAATAACAGTCAACAGTAAAGTCAATTATGGTTTCACCAAGAGTGTCTGGTCTTTGGCTGGCAAAGGGTAGGTATACACATATACGTGCTATTAATTTAACATGTTTTGCCTGTTACAAAAGTTACTTCCTTTCATAGTGATACGTTTAATTGAGCATCCATGTAACTGATATTATCCCAGTGTGAATTCTCTAATATTTCTGAATATTCGGTTAATGTCGTATATAGAGTCTGTCCCTTATTTTTGTGAGCTATTCATTTAACGTATTGATATACTTGACAGTTCAATCAAAAGTTGCAATCATGTTTATGTCCAGCGTCAAGAATTATTACATTTGACAATTTCATTTACCTAAATCATCATTTAATACATGAAATATTCTGCAAACAATAAATCGCATGTTAATTTCAACCATAAATATCGTCTCTAATATAAGATTGCTAAACACATAAGTTTATGTTATGCACCATAACTGCATTTAGAAAAGAATTTCTCGTCAGTGGTACCCGGAATCAAATACAAGGAATGCAATTATTGAACTAGAAGGGAAAACAATATATAATGATACTGTTATATTAACAGATCTTTAACTTTCAAGAAGAACGCTGACTATAATGTTGTAATCAACACAGACATGAACAACAAACAGAGATTGACAAAAGTGAACTTTGACCTAAGATATGGTGCAAAACCAAAAGATGAAAACAAGCGCATCTTTGTTACATCATTAGTACGTCACGAGCTGGGATTAAAGAAATCTGATATCGATATAACTGGCGATATTCGACATCTGGCTCTGGTAAGACAACCATAAGCTAAAATACGATTATATGCTTAAGTTTTCCTTTGCATTGTCACAATTTTAACTTAAGATAATTTATATTCACGAAGCTAAATGCTGGTCAGTTTTGGGAATCAAAGAGGCAATGACATACAAAATATTATATCAATATAAAATAATGAGATATGGTACGATTGCCAATTAGACAACTATCCATCGGAGTCCAAATGAAGTGGATTTAAGCCCCTGACATTAGAAAATGTAAAACAATTCAAACAAAAAACCATCTGCCTTATTCTAGACAAAACAAATAAACAAAATACAATTATGACAGACAGTAACAAACGACAACAACTGAATTTCAGACTCCTGTCACTTTTGAAGTACAATTTTCTTTAAATAAACAAGTCTGAATCACCCTTCAATGATAGTGATTAAGGAAATAGTTATGTACTGGGAAAACGCAGGACCTCCAAGGCCAAGATTGTACCATAATTAAAAGTTATTTCAGAACGCAAATTAGTCAATTACATGTAATAATACTTGATTGAAATTAGTAAAAATAATCAAGATGGCACATAACACCTGGCATACTAGAAAACTGATTCCTACTTTTCAAAAATCTGATAATGTTTGAGTTGTTCAAAATCAAATGCTTCAACATTTTGAAATATTTTTGTACCTGAGAATATTTGGAAATGATGTTATAATCATATTGCTACTTTCAGGGATTAGATCTTAAACTGAAAGGAAAGCATTCTCACAACACAAAGAGTATTAATTCTAACTTTGGGTTAGCATACGGCAAGAAGCAATCAGTATCCGCTGCATTGGTAGTGAAGAATAAGTCCAAAAAATTTACAGCCTTAACTGGTGATGTTAGCCTGAAATGGAATGATAAAGACTTTTCAATTGCAAACAACTTCGAACAGAAGAACAAAAGAAGATACACAAATGAGTTGATCTCAAATATTGCTGGACACAAAACAAAAGTTGTAAGTGATCTAAAACTTTCTGATGAAGAGTATGACGTCAGCACTGACATTAGTATGTCCGGGCAGAAGCCAATCCATCTAGAAGCACTGCTCAACCTGGATCCTAGAAACTTCCGTGTCAAATCTCGACTTAATAATGACTATTCGGCAGAATTTGGTTCTCAATACAAAAAAGCAGCACTTCTACGACTTTCTGGTGATGTATCTGTGCCCTCAAGAAGAGTCAAAGGTGAATTCGAAGCAAAGAAGAAGGATCCAATCTACGTTGGACATTTGGACATTCAATGGGATGCTAATGCAGACAAGGAAAAACAAATATTTCTTGACACTCAACTGACATACAAAACCAAGAACGAAATTGATGCTGTCCTTGTATTCAAGAGTCCACTGCAAAATAACAAGATCAACATCAATCGCAAAAACGAAAATGCACATTTTGACATAAAATCCGACGGAAAAGAACAACTATCTGTTGATGCATCTTTAAAACAAAAAAATGGTAAAGATCAAGTCCAAATCGAGGGAAGCTTAACAGTACATACTGCAGTAAAAGGATTAAGATATGTTAAACTTGGCATGAACCATTTGTCAGAACCCCGTCAATATAAAACAATTTTTGATGTCAACTGGAAACCAGATAACCAAATATCGGCTGCATTTTCACTAAAAAAGCCATTTAGCATTCGTCAATTCCAAGGATCTCTCAACCTCAAGACACCATTTAAGGGATTCAAAACATCGTTCCTGGAAATTTCTCATGATGCAAAAGACTCGCTGAAGTCCTTTGTAAATGTTCAGGTAAACAAGAATTCTTTACAGTTTGATGCATCTGCAAAGAAGGAAAACAACATATACTCAGGACATGCTGGTGTCAAATCTAACATTCGATCCATCCAAGCTGTTTCTTTAGATCTTAGTCACCAAAGTCGGTATAAAACTAACGAAAACAGTCTTGTTCTAAATATTAATGGAAACGAATACAGATATGAAGGTAAACTCACACATGACAGAGCAGGTCTTATGGTTCAGCAGAGCGGTAAAATAACTCTATCTTCACCAACAAGCCGATACGATTCTACATGGCAACACAGTAATACACTCAATGATGTAAAAACAGTGATCACAACCAACATGAATGGACAGCAGTATGCCTTTAACATTAAGGGCAGACATAATCTTGCATGGAAAGAAGCATCCATCCAGTATACATTGACCTCCGAAACTCCATTTGGAAAGGGACAACTTATGGTTAGTCATTTACATAAAGACAGTTCCATGGACACCATTCTCTCGATGAGCCAAAATAGCAAAAACCTATTTACAAGTGAAGGTCATCTTAAAACCGAAAATGGGGAACTCATTGCTACTGGGAACCTCCTACTTAAAGGTGAACAAATGGTTGCACTAGAAGGACGATTGAAAACAGGATCTCAGAAATATGTTTTGATCACATTATCTACTCCATTTGAATCATTTAGAAGACTTAGAACAGAGATGGAATTTGAAGGAAACATGAAGTCAATGACCTCCTCTGTCAGCTTTGAACTACAACCAATTGTAAGAAGAATTCGACTCTTGTCTACATTCAACAGAATTGGGGGTGTGTCCGGTAATGTAAGACTCGAAACCCAATACCAACAACTTCCATCCAGTGAAATAACATTCTCAAACCGCCCTGAGAATGACAAATCGAGAACCGATATCAAGGTTGAGTACTTACCAGGAAAGATCGTATCATTGACATCCAGAACTCTTTTAGATGGACAAAAGCTAAGTGCTGATGTCAGTATTGCAACTCCTTTTGAAAAATTACAACGTTTAACAGCCAGTATAACACATGACCCAACCGTTAAAGGATGCATAACGAAAGTTGAAATGGAGTATCCAGAGGGAAAATCCTACAATGCTGAGCTTGTTGTTGAATACAGAGAAAACTACCACTCTTCAGTCACAATACGTCTTCCTAATTACCATCCAGTAACCGCTTCTTTGAGCCACAAAGGAACATGGAATCAATTTTTATCTGGGGCTTCCTTGCAGTATGACAGAAATGGCAAACATCAACTGGATATCAGTTTCCATAATGGAAAAAGCCTCCAAGGTTCATTCACTATGAAGTCGTCTCTGGCTGAAGATACCTTTGCTTCCTTCTCTCACAGTGGAAATAGAAAAAGCATTAATTCTAACATTTTGTTAAAATACGGGAAGAATAAGCCAATCAATGTAGACATAGAAATGACAAATGCCAAAAGAATGAAAGGAACATTAAAAGTTGTATCTCCCATCATGGATGATATCACAGTTCTCTTGGTACACAAAGGCAAAAGTACAAGCTTCAAGACAAAAGCAAAGATTGGATGGGGAAAGAAGGAGGAAATTGAAGGAGACCTCACATTCAACTTTATCAAAAATCTGAAGACAGACATTTCAATATCCACACCTTTCAAGAGCATCAGAAAAATGTCAGCTTTTGTATCACATGAGGGAAATTTACGCAACTTCAAATGTCAGTCCGAATTGAAAATTGGAAAAAATGTTTGGGGTGCTAATGTAAAATCAAACGTTGATCCAACTTTAACAACAGAGCTTACTGTCAACACACCTCATGACGGATATGAAAAGATGAGAGCCTCCTATACGCACAACGGCCAACTTTCTGACTTTAAATGTCATCTGGAAGTTACAAAGAACAAGAAAGACATTATTGGTGATTTGCAATTTTCATCTCAACCATTGGTTCTATCTGCAACTCTTCAAACACCGGTGAAAAGGTATGGCAATCTAAAGGCGTTACTTAGCCATGTTGGGCCGCTAAGCAACTTCCAGACTAAAGCTGAAATAACTTACTCTGATTCTAAAACTATATCACTAGATACATCTGTCAGCACAAATGACCGATTGACTGTTTCTGTTGATATCAAGACACCATTCAAGGAATATGGAGAAATGACAGCCAAACTTTCGCACTCAGGAACATCTAATAATTTTGCCTCTCGATTAGAAACACTTCTTCAGAGGAAAAGAAGTCAATTGGACGTTTCATTCTCTAGTCTTGGTCCAATTGAAGGAAAACTTACTCTACTTACTCCAAAATATGAACCTGTAAAGATGTCGTTATCGCATAGTTTTGAGTCATCCCTCAAAAACCAAATTTCAATTACATATGGAAGAAAAGATATTGTTAACAGCATAATTTCGTATCAAAAGGAACCAAGAATGAAAGGAGAAGCTACTTTTATATCCTCCTTTACACCTGACATGTCAGTATCCTTTGAACACAGCGGGAACCTTCAACAATGTGTTTCAAACATCAAAGGTGCATATGGAAGAAAATCAGCACAAGTAGATCTAAATCTTAGTATTACAGATGACTTTTCAGTTCGACTGAACTTGAAAACACCATTCGATATTTTGAGGTCAGGAGAACTGAATATTAACCATAAAGGACAACTTAATGACTTCGAGAGCACAGCAGATATAGACATCAATTCCAAAAAGATCAATGGAATAGCAAAATTTACAAGCAAAAATGGAATTCAAGGAAGAGCCACACTGACTACTCCATATGCAATGTTCCGTACTGCAGAAATTTCATTCAAACATTCTGGACAGTTGAGAGACTTTGAATGCTCAGGTGAATATGTACAAAATGGAAAGAGATCAGAAGGACAGCTAACACTGAGAACTTCTGGAGGTCTCAATGCAAGGGCCTTCTTGAAAACGCCATACTCTGAAGATGTCACTCTTAAGTTAAATCATGAAGGAGAATTAAGACGGTTCTTATCTAGTGGTGAATTGAGTTACGGTTACAAGACAGGATCTGCCCAGGTATCAGTGGATATGGTAAGAGATATCAGAATAAACGGTTTCTTGAAATCTCCATTTTCACGTGATGTAGTTATTAGTACTGAGACCACAGGACAACTGGTGGACTTTACATCCGTATCCCAGCTTACTTACAGTGGACAGAAACAACACGAACTTGAAATTTCATTCAATGTTGAAGGGTCAATCAAAACATGGAAAACAAATTTTGACGGTGCATACAATAAGAAAAAGGTTACTGGAAAATTCTCGTTCAGCGCACCAAATGGAATACAAGAAAAGATTGAAGCAACTGGGCGAATTGAAACACCAATAAGTGAACCAGTATCATTTTCACTTTTGTTCAACACCAACAATGAACAAAGAAACAACTTTGGCGTCCAAACAACAGCTGATCTTACATACAGTGGTCGCAAACAACATGAAATCTCTTTTACCTTTAATCACGATGGATCATTTAAGAAATTTACCACCAGCTCCAATATTGTTTACAATACAAAGAGAGTAACTGCATCAGTATCATTTGATAAGACAAATGGAGTTCAATCCACATTTTCATTGAACACTCCTATGACCAAAGACATTCGTGTATCATTTTCACACAATGGTATATGGGTCGATAATAGAAATCAATTTCATGTGATATATGAAGGGTCTAAAATTTATGAGGTAATTACAGTTTTCAAATTTGACGGCGAATTGAGAAAATTCCAGTCTTCGGGGTCAATAACTTACAACAGTAAAAAGATTTCGAGTGATGTGAATTTCGATATCTTGAACGATCCCGAGGGATCAGTTACTTTAAGAACACCCTTCACTGATGATATAACAGTTTCTTTCTCTCATCAAGGTACTCTACATAATTTCATCAGTCATGGAGAGATCGGTTACAACGGCAGAAAACAGCATGAAGCCAATATTGAACTCCAGAATCGTGACAATAGAGTATTTGTAGAAATGTCATACAACACTAAGGTAGCATCAATAGAAGCAACATTAGAGCAATCTACAGGAATACAAGGCAAAATTATAATCAAAAGTCCATATACAAAAGATATCGAATTGAAAGTAGACCATAGAGGGGAGCTGTTGAACTTTAATACGAAGGGAGAAATAATCGTCAGCGGAAAGAAACAACACGAACTTTATGCTGCATTTGAACACAATGGAGACATGACAAATTTCAGAACTTCAGGTGAAGCATCTTATAATTCCAAGAGAGTGTCATCAGAACTACAATTCGACTCAACAGAAGGTATCAAGACAAAGGGCACTTTGATAACTCCATATACCAACGACATAGAAATTATAATTGACCATAAAGGTACTGCTAGTAATTTCAAGTCACACGCTGACATTTCATATAGTGGATCCAAACAACATGAAGCCGTCATAACATTTAAAGGGTCTGGTGCACTACAAAAATTCCAGCTATCGGGAGACGCTACGTATAATGGCAAGAGAGTCACCACTTCAGTTGAAACCGATTTTACCCGTGGGTTAAAATTAGAGGGACGTTTGTCAACACCATTAACTGAGGATATTGAAATCTTCCTTGACCATCAAGGTACTTCAACTGATTTCAGATCACAAGCAAGTGCAACCTACAGTGGAAGTAAACAACATGAAGTTGTTTCGACATTTAAACGTAGCGGCACACTTAGACAATTTCAAGTATCTGGTGAAGTTCAATACAATAATAAAAGAACTGCTCTAACTGTCGACATTGACACTACCTCAAAATTATCCGCAAATATGGCCCTTCAATCGCCATTATCGAAGGATATTCAACTAGAAGTTTCCTTAGATGGAGAATTTAAAAACTTCAATTCCAAAGCTGAGCTTCAATATGGTGACGAAAAGCATGAACTATTAACAGATTTCAATCTTATTGGAGAAATACGTAACTTTGCAGCAAACGGTAAAACAGCTTATAATGGTAAGGAACTATCTATCGACATTTCTGCAGATACCAGAAAAGATGTTGATGGCAAAGCTACACTAAAACTGCCATATTTTGATGACATTATAGTTATTATTAAAAAAAGTGGAAATATATTTGACTTCAACTGGGATTCACAAGCTGAACTATCTTACAGCGGATTAAAACAGCATGAAGTTACAGCTAGCATGAAACAAACAAAGTCTGACGAAATGTTAAAATCATTCAGTCTTTTCACATACAACAGAAAGGCATTATCATCTGATATCTCCATTGATTTAACTAATGGTTTAGACATGAATATCGACATACAATTACCTTTCAGAAACATGAAAGCATCTGTTTCCCACGAACTCCAAGGTACATTGAAAAATTTCCATTCAAATATCAAATTGACCCTGAATGACAAGGAAATCAAGGCAAAAACAAATCTTGATATTGCTAGTGGACTTGAAATTACGTTGGAGACACCTTTTACTGGATATGAAAGAAATAAGGCTTCACTGACATTTTCAAATGTGCAATCTCTCATTTCTGGAAAGGCAGTCGCGCAAATTGGAAAACATACAACTCAACTTAATGGCAAAGTTGATATATCAACTGGTTTGAAAATCGAGCTGTGTCTAAAAACGCCACTAACGGAAGACTTTGAAGTTATTATCAACGGAAATGGAGGTATGCATGCATTCCGATACGAATCGTCTGTTAGCTATGGAAAAGAAAGAGTCAGAGGAGAAGTCAATCATGAGTGGTCCTCCATGGCAATCAAAGGGAACATGCTGCTATTAACACCTATTCTAGAAGACATCAAAATAGAATATGGCGTAAACGGAAATATGAAGTCCTTCGGAACAACAGTAAAAGCATCCATTGGTAACATGAATGCAATTGAAGAAGTAACAAGGGTCAGACTTGGAGAAATGTTTGTAGACTTCGAAGCAACACTGAAAACCACTTTATCTGGAAATGTTAAACTGTCTGAGCTTAGAATTTCACATGATGGTTACATTTCAAGCTTTAAAACAAATATTGAAGCGAAATATGACGACCAGACAATCAAAGCAGATGCATCCTTTAAACACCTTCCATCTATCGAGGGCTCACTAAGCTTCCAAACACCATTTGAGAAACTAAGAGATGTTAATGTCAAGATTGAACATTCTGGATCTCTGAAGTCTTTCACAACAATCGGAAGTCTTCAATATGCACCAGACAAAAAGATAGAAGGAAATGCTAGATTCACAATGTATCGACCAGAAAGTTTGTACTTAAATGTCGATCTCCAAACTCCATTCACCGTAATTCCTCATTTGAACGGTAGATATCGTCATGATTTGAAAGCAAACAGTCTCATATCATCTGCATATTTGACGCTCAGTGAAAACAATCCTCTAATTAACGGAAACCTCAAAATAACACAAGAAATGATCGATATTTCCTTGAATACACCGCAAAGCAGATACTCCGTCTACGCAGACATGAAAATGCAAGGCGACACCTACTCACTGTCCGGAAATGCTGCAAATGGAGGAAAAAAGATTACTCTTGCCATGGAAAAAACGCTATCCTCATTCAGCATTAATCTTGATACACCAATCCGAGGATATAAGAGAACACAGGTTAAAGCATCTGCATCAAGAAAACCATACCATGCTGCACTGAATATACAGACATCATACCTACCTGAAATTGACTTTGATGTACGCCTAACTGGCAACCAGTTCGATGATTTAGATGGATCTCTTACACTTAAAACAGGATTAGATAATTTGAGAAATATACGAATGTCCATGAAAAATGAAAAAAATCTTGGAGAATTAAAATCCCACATTGAAGCATTTTTCACTGAGCGCAACGGAATAACTATAGATGCGTCTCTCACTAAAACAGACTCCTCACTGTCAGTGTCTACTCCTTGGGAATCTCTTCGAACTGCTTACGGGTATGTAAAATACGACTGGCGTAGCCAAACAAATCATTTGATAGTAGCAACAAATATGAAAATCAACAAAGAAACATTGTACGATGTTGATTTGGAAATGGATGCTGAGAAAAGAGAGGAAATAACACTGATAATTAATGTCAATGAACCGAGACCAATGAGGTTTGAAATAAATAAACTGTTCTCCTCAGAAACATACATGCTTGTAAATTGGAACAAGCTAGATAGAGACAGCAGTTGCAGAATGGATATTACATTCAATTCAGACTGGTCTGACAGGAAACAGATTGCTAGCTATAGAGGTGTGTGCGGGTCTAAATCTTACGCCATTGGAGCATCGTATCACCGTCCTGATGATTCGTCCAAAATTGTTCTATTTATAGAGAAAGATGATGTCAGAACACATGGATTAGAAACAATACATGAAAACAACGGACAAGCCAAATACACTCTACAGCTACCATCTAGGACAGTTGTATTATCAACTGTATCATCATCAGGATACGGAATAAGCAGTCAAGTATTCGATTTCTCGTGGGATGCAGAGAGAGACCAAAACAAAAGAGTAGCAATAAAGACTACAAAAAATACCAGAACTAATGGAGATGAACTTACATTGGGTTTAGAAATGCCAAGTCTCGGGAAGGTAATTCAAAATATTTATTATTTTTTTTCAAAAAAACAAAACAATAATTTAAGTTATCAAAATACGATATTATTTGAAGAACATATGGTTTATAAAGAATAATGTAGAATGTTTAAACTCGAGACTACATTAGTATCTTTTGTATTGCAGCAAATCTAATGATTCAATTATTTAAACCATCTGTAATATTAGTTATCTAATCATATAATATTTACAGTCTAATCTTTTGTATTGCAGCAAATCTAATGATTCAATTATTTAAACCATCTGTAATATTAGTTATCTAATCATATAATATTTACAGTCTATTCTATGGCACAAATATTCAAGTACAGATCAAAATTACTCGAAGGCACTGAAATTCATTTAAAAAAAATACAGTTTTATTTATTTTATTATTTTATTTTCTCATGCATGCAGTTTAATATTAGTGTTCTTGGTATTTTATAGGATATCCAACTTGATTACAAAATGTTAATTGGAAATGGAAACGTCATTTATGATGGCCGTACAGCATTCAGATACTCAAAAGATTCACGTAAAACTTTTACATTGAGTTCAAAATTAGAAGATGTATCAGGACGTGGGGAGGATTACAAGTTCTTACTTGGTATAAGTCACCCATATACTACAGTGGACATTCAAACTAAGGCAATATTCGGAAAATCTGACGACAAACTATCAGCTGGATTTGATATCCAATACCTGACTGCAAGACGTCAAACAAAGAACATCGCTTTAATAACCGAGATTGATAAACTTAAACGTCAACTGAATATACAGGTATGGACTTAGTTAGACTTAAGATATAAATATAAACTTATATTGTGTGAATATGTTTCTGTTCATTTCCTTCCATACTGGTTGAATAAAGGAAGAAACAAAAACACTAATTTTGTTTTGATATTTTGTAAATAACTTTGTTTTTAAATGTTATTTAGCAAACTTGAAGTGTTAATCAATAAAAAAAAATTTATGAGTTTGTGTTTCGTATATGAAGTGAAACTTCTTACTGAAAATCTACTTGAATATACTTTTAATTCCTGATCAAGTGAAAAGTTAACCCCGAATTTTAATCTTTGAATTTTGTACCACAGGTTCGTTCTCCAATCAAAACAATGAAAATGGATGCTAGTGTTGAGACATCACCTTTCAAACTGACAATCAAAAATCTTTATGATGATACCAAGCCAATCAATACAGAGCTGACAGTTGATCCTAATGATGGTAGCCTGGACTTCAACATGAACTATGATATCAGTAAGTCATTCTTCCCAAATAAGTTGCACTTTAGATGCAAAAATCAAAAATAAGCGTTCAATAATTGGATAAATAGAGTCATTATTATTTTTTTTAAGTTGAATGGTTTAAAGTGATACCTTATATTCTTTTCTTACAGAAAATTCTCTCAATTTAAATTCTTGATCTGTCTATTTTCAGAAAACCCAGACAATACACTCCATGTGAATGCTAAATTCTCTGACGAGAAAGGAATATCTGCAGAACTGTACAGAAATGTAAATCAGAAGAAAACTGTAGACAGCTTGCTTAATCTCCGATTAAAAACATCCAAGATTCTTCATACACGTGTTCACTGGCGTCCATCAATTATCAGTGATCTCAAGGTATATTTGTAATTTTTTTCAACAACTTTGAGATATATCAGTTATATACAGATAGCGAACAGGTAACAAAATCTAACTTTGCATATGAATAAATGTCTTATTAATCATTCCCGTAGTGTAGTTAATGTCTTATAGAAATAGGAGCAAAAAGATGACAGGGGTAAACAGGAACAATAAGAATAAGAAAGATATTGAACACCACAAAAAACACGTCCAACCTAAAAAAACCAAAGACAGCTGAAAAGTCAATGATGTCGTACAAAAACGTATGAGCGACACAAACCATGCCAGAATGTTAAAGTTGAAAATGAAAATAGAAACAGTTCATTTTTGTATGGTATTCCACTCCAGTGGAAGCTAAGCTTTATGGACATACACATCCGCTTCGGTTTGCTTTCTGTTTATGCAGTATTAACCATCAACATATAGAAAATTGTTTTTTGAAACATTCAAAGAATTAGCAAACTTCATTTAGTTCGTACATCTTTCAGGCTGAACTAACAAAACGAATTGAAGAATATGGCATAAGATCTGGTATGGCAATTGAAGCGTCTTCTGATGAAATTAAAAAAGAAATATTATACAAGAGACGATTATTCCAAGCTTCCTATGCAGAAGAAGTCAAATCATATGCTGATGCCATCAATGACAAACTGTCTGAACTCAGAACATTGAAAGCAGACAATGCCTTTTATCTTCAAGACATTTGCAGTTCTGTTGATACTACCATGACAAGAATCGGGTACGTTTTTATTAAAATCTCTCCACTGAAATATAAATATCTCACTCGAAAAAAGTTGTTTTATTTAGTTTTTGAATTTTGCGGCCAAACTTTAAAGACTAAATAGCAGTTAGAGTATCGAAGAATACAGATGAACTAAATTGCTTAAAGACTGCCACAAGTGTAACAACATATTTATTTTTATTGTTTTTAGTGAATTTGCAGAAGATTTTAATGAAGCTTGGGGGAGATGCCCAGTCAAACATAAAATTGATGAATATATGAACAGTCTTGAACATCTACAACAGGTTTGTAATAATTTTAACGGTATCAAATTTACTGCACCAGCTATGCATTTTGTCAATGTCTCTTCAATGATGCTCGTGTTCAAACTATTTGAAACCCCAAAACCTGGTATAAACGATAAAGAGACGATAAAACATTTTTGGCTAGTGTCATTAGTTAAATTTATTTACTTTTCACAATTAAAAATAAACTCTTTAAAAATCTGTTTGTACTCCAGATGATTCCTTACTGCATGTAAGAACAATCAGAAATTGTCAACGTATGTATAAACGTAGATCCCTCCGTCATTCGGAGCACCCCCGAGGGCTGAATGTACAGTTGAATCCGTGTACACTCCCTATCCGAATTAATGGAGATGTGTCACTAACGTGTATACAACTTAAACACAGTATACTCGAAAATGTCACAAAAACGACTTTCTTATGAAATTTATTTGGATTACCTGCAGAATGTCAGAAGATTTATTTTACACTGTTACTTTTATGTTTCAGAGACTGGATGCCTATTCCAAAGATACTTATATCAACATGGGTGGCCATTTGAACAGCATTACAGCAAATTCTTATCAGAGATTACTTGGTAATTGTTATCTATTGAATACCTCAATTCATTAAATTAAATTCAGGGGATAACTTACAAAATAAATTTTTTGCTATTTCACTGCACCAGATGCACATTTCGACAATGTCTCTTCGGTGAGACTCGAGGACAACATATATGAAAATCTTCAATTTATTACACACGTAAAGGACGTAAAGTATAGCCAAATCCGGACAAGGAATGAGAGCTTTTATGAGGGAGATATATTCATTTGTTCAAAATGATTTCAAAGTTTTATAACAGCAAATAAGATTTAAGCATACAAAAGCTGCGTGCAGCGTACTACGTAATAAGCCTTACATTGCATCTTTGATCATAAACTCGTCACAGTGTTAGAATCAGAAAATCATCAACAACAAAAGATTGTTGATATAAGTTCACATAAAAAAATAGTTTCGTCTTTTATACAAAGGAACTATATAAATTAACTTTTGTATTTTTTTTTTGCTTACACATCTATATATATTTATATTTATATAAAATCTTATAATTTCAGATTACAAAAACTCTGTTGGAAATCACCAAACTGTTGTCAATTTAAAATCGAAATATAACACTTATATGGATCAGCTTAAAAATATGAAATTAAATGAGCAATGGTCTAGCATTGCCAACCAATACACATCAAGCATATACAACATCAGAGAGGGGATCAACCAAAGACTTGTCAACTCGTTACCGACACCAATGTACAACATGGTAGGCTGATTTTTTAAAAATGTTACGAAAGTTATTTACGGATTAAGAGGTAGGACCGATAAGAAATTAAATTTTAATAGCATAAATGTTATTAATTGCTTGAACAAAAGTGAAAAACTGAAAAAAGATATTAAATATACAAAGATATATTAAAGTAACAACATTTATATATATGATAGTTAAAGTAAAACAACATTTATATATATGATAGTTAAAGTAAAATTAAATTCACATATTCTTTTGAAGGGATCATCTGCATACAAATACTGGGAATTTGAAGAAAACGTAAATGCTTTAGTTGACAAAATATTTGAAGAATTGAAAAAAGATGCTACCAAGGAGATGTCTGTTTTAAAAGAGGTGTTCGGAAATGTACTCAAATCCAAAGTTATTAAATATGATATACCAAATGGAGAGATTATAGTAGATTTGTACCTGCCTGTTGATGTACGCACTCTCAGCTCACTAAAAGACATTTCTTTAAGACAATACTTGCCAGATATGAGCTTTCAAACTCCAAAACTGAATTTCTTTGGATCTTTAGAGGATTACATGCCACACATGACCTGGACAGGTTTGTAATAAATTTTCGAATTTTTGTATACTGAGAAACTCGATTCAATTTTTTGAAGAAAAATGAAGAGAAACAAGGATGTTGTGATAATGCATATATAAATTTATTTTTTTTTTGAAATAAGGACATAATTTCTTTTATCTTATCACTGTACACCTTGGAAATGGAGTATTTCCACTACAAAACGGCTTTATCTAATGGTAACACTATGACTTTTACGAAAAATATTTAGTATGTGTGGTGTATGTGAACTCCTGAATGTGTAGCTATTTGTTAACAGTGTTTGTCTTTTCGTATTTAGTCGCGAAGTTTTCGTTCTTCTACTTAGGGTTTTTTTAAAGAATTGTTATTTATATATCATACTAAACAAACATGTAAAAATTAGCAAAAAAATATAGAATGATGATGCAATTACATGTTTTTTTCTATTAAATTGTATGTTTTTAAAAACTATTTTCTTTATTATAAAAATAAAAAAATAATTGTATATTTAATATAATTTCTACAGCAAGTGCAAAAGTACATGGCCGACACTTTACAACTTTCGATGGTCAAGAATTTGACTTCAGTGGGCGATGTAGCTACGTTCTTGCACGAGACTATGTAGACGGCAACTTCAGTATCATCATGAACTATTTGGGCAGACAAAAGAAGAAGTTGATTTTGACTTCTCGCCATCAAAATGTTCAATTATCACCAAATGGAAAGGTAACTATAGCTCTTTACATATGAGGAATATTAGTCAATTTTTATATTTTCAATATACATGAAATATTATGTGTGTATCCACAAATTTATGTCGAGAATATTCTTTGCAAGACTCCATTGAGAAAATTAAAATATGATGTATGTATAAGTAGTGAAAAGATTATCAAATTGTGATGATTTAAAAATGGCAGTAAGGTTTACACTGCATATAAAAAAAGAAGATGTGGTATGATTTCCAATGAGACAACTCTCCACAAGAGACCAAATGACACAGACATTAATAAGTATAGGTCCCCATACAACAATGAGCAAAGCCCATACCGCATAGTCAGCTGTAAAAGGCCCCGAAATGTAAAACAATTCAAACGAGAAAACTAACGGCCTAATTTATGTACAAAATAATGACTGTATGACTCAACTAGACATTTGAATTTTGCATGTACATGATTGTGTTTTTGCTCTTGAATTATAACAAAAGGATTCACCTTATTATACGTTCTCTCTGACTTGTAGGTCAGTGTCGATGGTGTAGTTATGGATCTACCTTACAGATCAACAGAATTTGTAGTTTTCTCTGTCGATGGTAAGGTGTTCATTGAGGGTCGTGGATTCCAAGTTAAATCCGATCCAACCGTAGATATGGTCGACATTGATTTGAGCAAGTGGTACTTTGGTAAAACAGGTGGACTTCTTGGTACTCTAAACCATGAACGTTACGATGATATGATTATGCCAAATAATCAAATTACATCCGACTCTTTCGCTCTAGGAAACGCATGGCAAGTTCAAGATCGATGTTGAATACACATTTCATACTTTGAAATAACATGAAATAGAAAACTGTGATTATTAACTTTTAATTGATATTTTGGAAATGTTGTGAAATTTTTAATGAAATAAACTAAATTTAAGCATTGCACATAGTATTTGTTAAGTCTTTTCAATTTTACTTGGTTCTAGGTATATCGAACAATTTAGTACGGACACTAGATGAAGATAGGTTATTGATTTCGAGTTGTCTTGTTGGGTTTATTGTGTGTTTTTAGATGTTGTCTTCTTGGGTATACACGATATCTATTTTTTTCTATTGTCCATAGGAAATGTTTAAACACTAATTCTCAATATATCTTATACTTGAATAGGAGAAATAATGAAAGAAACATGCACTCATCAAATCAACTAGGGAAAAACCCCACAAAATAAAAGATATTTACACATATAAAGGATATACTTGCTAAAAAATTGAATTTGACGCATTTAGAAAAATTAAAGTTAAAACACAACTTAAGGTGGCTCGGCCCTTTAACAGTGCGCATATTTAAACGCATGATTCTAACGACGAGTGCCTTGGAAACGGTCGCTTTGAGGGGTTTTCTCAAAAATAGTTTTGACGACATTGGAACGAGGGCGTATATGAGAGCACCCTTTCCCGATGTCAACAAACCATGCAAAACATTCTACAAAACAGGAAATACGTACGGTCAGAAATACAGAGTGGTTCATTTTTCACATAAAAAGGACAGAATTATACTTGATATATCAAAGCATAACATTAAAAAAAAGAAAATATAAATATTGACATGTACGACGGTATCTGGTGCGTTCACTCCGAAAACACATTCTCACCCCTTGGATCCGTTCGCACCCTATTTTCATTTTAATACTGGTTGAATATATCAAAAGATGTCAATTAGATGTATAAGTATATATATATATATATATATATGAAAATATTTTGCCAATGACGCAATGTTTAACTGTAAACAAAGGATAGCGATGTAAACAACTGCATATCACCTTACGGCTTTCAAAAACAAGTAAAACCCATATAGTATGCTATAGTATAAAGGCATCGGGGGTCATCTGCACGCTATAAATAATAAATGAATAATAATAAATAAGGTTTATTTAGAGTCGGCAAAGTATAAAAACAGAGTCAACATAAGCTCTAATGAGCTTTTAACCGTTTTATCCGTCTGGCATATTATAACATTTTGTTACTGTCATAAATCTCTTTTTTACTTGAAATATCTTCATTTCCAAGTATTGGTAGGATCTTATTCCGGAGTATGTGAAATATTTCCCACAGCAAAATTTTGATAAAAGTTACGTATTTTTATTTGCCAAAAAATTTTGAACATAATAAATCCGGAGTATGTGAAATATTTTAACACTGCAAAATTTTGATAATAGTTAAGTATTTTTTATTTTCCAAAAAAATTTTTGGACATTACAATTTTCAAACAAAGACTAAATACTTGACAGTCACACATAACATTTTTATTCAAAGATATATATACTTTATCAAATAATGGGCACGAAAATATCTAACAAATTTTCTCGTATCATGATTCTATGATTTTGAAACTCTAGTCCTATAACATGAGACCGCGGGGCCAATGTTTTCTATTTATGATATTTTCCTTTTACTTATTTTGCTATTTGTTAATTTTCTATTTTCTTTTGTATCTATCAATATGCCAACAGAGTTCGCATTAAAAAAAAAAGAGAAAATATCAGCGTAATAACTAAAATAATTGAATAGGAATGAGTTATTATAATAGTACGGAACTCGAGAAACACATTTCACTAAATTGATTATTTGTTTTACGCAGAAAAAAAAAACCCGACACTTCAATAATTTGCGGTTTTCCACCTTTGATCATGTAGATGAAAATTGGTCAATAGTAACCGGGACCTTACTAGTATTCCGACCTTATATATTGCTCTATGCTATTATTCCTCAATACCGCATGCTTTGCGGAGAAGCGCAAAATGTTTGGTTTGACCTAGTCGGGATTTTGCCTAAGAACACACATCCGCAGTCTACCGGGTAGTTCCAAACACTATCAGTTCGTGTTGCTTAGTCTTTAGTTTTCTATGTTGTGTCATCTGTACTATTATTTGTCTGTTTGTCTTTTTATTTTTGGCCATGGCGTTGTCAGTTTGTTTTCGATCTATGAGTTTGACTGTCCCTCTGGTATCTTTCGTCCCTCTTTTAAAGACATTATATATAAACAAAATCTATACTACTAACTAGGTTCAGGAACAGTTGGGATTGTAATTTTAAAACTCCGCCCAGTACACAGGGATGCTATATTAGTCGGTGATATTGGCAAACTTTAACTTCTGTCTTACTTTTTGACAGCGTTTTTTTTTCAAAAGGGAAGCAAATAAGGAAAGTTCTTGATTTAAAAAAATTAAAGTGGAGTGTGTCATTGCGGCAAAAAATATGAATGACAACTTTTTTAATGATGTGTGAACACTGGTTTGACCCACCTGCTAGCTGCAAAGAAACGTAATTATCGGCCTATGATGATAATATGGAGATGATATTATTTTTTTTTTTTTAATATTGACTTTTAAATTTAAATTTTGGTGGATAGTTGTCTCATTGGCAATCATACCCCATCTCCTTATTTTCATATCGTAGGGTTAACATGGGTATAGAAATATGACTTCCCTAATCTGACAGATAATCCCTTGCTATGACATGGTGTTCATACAGCTGGATGTATAAATACCTTTGGGGGGGGGGGCACTTCAATACTTAATTGATAGGGGTGCCGCTGGAGTTCTGCTACCCCACCTTTTTCATATAATTTATATTTCAAAAATGTATACCTTTTCATATATTGCGTAGGTAACAATGTAACCTTTTCCCATATTGTTTGGGTTTCATTAGGTGTGTAATGTACGAATGGAATACCAAAGTGTCAAAAGATAAAAATTGGTTGATAAAAACACAACCGAGAACACCAAGAAAGATGACAGTGAAGAAGTTATGGGAACTTTATTGACCTTGTCTTATATTTCTGATAGTTTTTTTCCGACCTATACACATATATTTAGGCCTGAAAAGGTGACCTTTTCCAGCGGCATGTCCTATTACCTTGTATATAGGACTAGGGGGGGGGGGGCTACTTCAATACTTAATTGATAGAGGGTGCCGCTGGGGTTCTGTTACCCCACCCTTTTCATATATTGCGAAGGTAAAAATGTATCCTTTTCCCCATAATGCTTGGGTTTCATGTAGTGTAATGTAAGACTAGAATACCAAAGTGTCAAAAGAGAAAAATTGGTTGATAAAATCACACCCGGGAACACCAAGAAAGATGACAGATGAATATAGGAAGTGCTTACCTGCTTTACTAATCATCATTCATTGATTGGTTTTATGTAGATATTCCAAAAGATAAAGTTTTACTACAAGTATCAGAACTAGATGTGTCGGCCCTGTCTCAAAAAGTTTTAAAAACTGCAATTTCAACAACACATGTGGACACAAACATGTTTGAATAGTATCAAGCTCTCAAGACCAATACTAGTTTGATGAAAATATCCTTGATCAATGAGTAGTTAAATTTCAAACTATCAGCAAACAGGAAGTGGATGTACTGAAGATGTGTTGAAACGACATGAAAATCAGCATATCGGAACGAAACATATACTTGATCTGTAACACATCATGGTTAACTCACATACTAAAAATCAACCCAATATCTGAAGGCGTTTAGAAAAAAATCCGTATAACTGTGATTTTCAACAATTTATCAAAGTCCAAAACCCGTAACTTCGTCAAAAATTAGCAGAGCGAAACGAAACTTAAACTTGATCTGTAAATCACCATGGTTAACTCACATACCAAAAATCAGCCCAATATCTGAAGGCGTTTAGAAAAAAAAGTCCGTATAATGGTTTGTTGCGGAATGACGAAATGACGGACAAGGGTAAAACTATATGGCCCCGACAACATTGTTGCGGGGCCATAAAAAATTAATATTATCAATGATCATGAAAATGAGGCCAAGGTCAGATAAACCAATCTAAGCCAGCCTTACACAGTAGCGGAATCAGAATTTTTCATAAAAGGGGAGGGGGAGGGGCTGACTGCCTAAGAAAGGCCTGCTCCAGTCATGCTTCAGTGATTCCCTATATAATCAACAAATGGGCCCTCCCCCTAAATCCGCCTCTGTTTCAATCATCCCATCAACCAAATATTTAGAAACATATATATAGTATGCCAGTAACAGACAAAACCATGACAAGAGGCTGTCAGAGTGACAGCAAACCGGATTTTCCTGCAGAGGTCGAACCCTGAACAGTTGAGCAAGTATAGACACTACATTTAAGCTTAAAACAGCTCTGAATTTGGATTGTGATTGAATATTTGACACAGCATAGGTTTGTGACACAATATACATGTGGTCAAAGAACTGAAATATTTGAAATTGGACATTTAAATACTTATTATGGTCCAATATCCAAAATCTAAATACATATTAGAATCAGCATATCAAAGAACCCCAAGAATTAAATTTTTGATGAAATCAGACAACAATTTAATTTAGGACCCTTTGGACCTCAATGTGGACCAATTTGATAAAGGAGCCCACAATCCAAAATCTCTCAATACATGGTTAGATTCAGCATTTCAAAGAACCCCATCAATTATTTTTTTGTTGAATAAAACAAAGTTTAATTTTGGACCCTGATTTGGACCAACTTGAAAACTGGGCCCAAAAATCTAATATTTAAATACAGGTTAAGATTCAGCATTTGAAAGAACCCTATATATATTTAATTTATGTTGAAATGAAACACAGGTTAATTTTATCCATAATATTTTCTGTGCAAAGGGAAATAACTCAAACTGGATAAATAGTTCTCTAAAATAAGATATGATGCAATTTTTCAAATTATAATCAATAATGTAATAACAACAACCAGTGATGACTAAGTTCTCTAAAATTAGATATGATTTAACATTCAAACATTGTTAGAATCAGCATATCAAAGAACCAAAGAATTCAATTTTGATGAAATTAAACAAAAGTTTAATTTAGGACCCTTTGGACCTCGATGTGGTATTATCTTACCAAGTGTAGATGATCTTGGGTTCTCTCATATGGATTCTGA